AAGTCAGCTGAGCTTCATTTCTAAATATGATAATTGGATAATTATATATACATATATATGCCAAAGAAGTTCAACTACCACACAATTGCACTCATCTCACACACTAGCTCAAAATTCTCCAAGCTAGGCTTCAATAGTACATGAACTATGAACTTCCAGATATTCAAGTTGGATTTAGAAAAGGCAGAGGAACCAGAGATCAAATTGCCAACATCTATTGGATCATCAAAAAAGCAAGAGAGTTCCAGAAAAACATCTACTCTTGCTTTATTGACTATGCCAAAACCTTTCACTGTGTGGATCACAACAAACTGTGGAAAATTCTGAGAGATGGGAATACCAGACCACCTGACCTGCCTCCTGAGAAATCTGAATGCAAGTCAAGAAGCAACAGTTAGAACTGGATATGGAACAACAGACTGGTTCCAAATTGGGAAGGGAGTACATCAAAGCTCTATATTGTCACCCCGCTTATTTAACTTATATGCAGAGTACATCATGTGAAATGCCAGGCTGGATGAAGTACCAGCTGGAATCAAGATTCCTGGGAGAAATATCTATAACCTCAGGCAGATGACACCACTCTTATGGCAGAAAGCAAAGAACTAAAGAGCCTCTTGATGAAGGTGAAAGAGGAGAGTGAAAAAGTTGGCTTAAAACTCAACATTCAGAAAACTAAGATCATGGCATCCGGTTCCATCATTTCATGGCAAATAGATGGGGAAACAATGGAAACAGTGAGACTTATTTACTTGGGATCCAAAATCACTTCAGATGGTGACAGCAGCCATGAAATTAAAAGACACTTGCTCCTTGGAATAAATGATCAACCTAGACAGCATATTAAAAAGCAGAGACATTACTTTACCAACCAAGGTCTGTCTAGTCAAAGCTATGGTTTTTCCAGTAGTCATGTATGGATGTGAGAGTTGGACCATAAAGAAAGCTGATCGCTGAAGGATTGATGCTTTTGAACTGTGGTGTTGAAGGACTCTTGAGAGAGTCCCTTGGACTGCAAAGAGCAGTCCATCCTAAAGGAAATCAGTCCTGAATATTCATTGGAAGTATTGATGCTGAAACTGAAACTGCAATACTTTGGCCACCTGATGCAAAGAACTGACTCATTGGAAAGACCCTCATCCTGGGAAAGGTTGAAGGCGGGAGGAGAAGGGGACAACAGAGGATGAGATGGTTGGATGGCACCACTGACTCGACGGACATGAGTTTGAGTAGGCTCTGGAAGTTGGTGATGGACAGGGAAGACTGGCATGCTGCAGTCCATGGGGTCGCAGAGTCAGAAAATGACTGAGTGACTGAACCGACTGAACTGGTATATGTTAAGTTTCATCACTGGGTTCTTTCATTTTTGTTAGTATCATTAGTTATCTTACTCTCTTTTTAAAAGAATCTTGATTTTCCAACTGCTTGAAATGTCTTTTTCCCTATTGCTAAGATGATGAATGAATGCTTAAAAGGTCATTCCACCAGTAAATAGTAAGACAATCTGACTTTGAGTCTAACAAATGTAGATTTTTGCTAGTAGCCTTTTATCTCTTTAAAGTGTATTTGAAATTTCTATGTTCATAAAGAATAGCAACACAAGTGATATCTAACATATTAAATGCAAAGCTATCATCTTCATATTACAGATGAGGAAATTGAGGTTCAGTGGTACAGCTAAAGTATCCAAGTTCATGCACTTGGCAAGCAGCAGATTTAGGTTCTAATAATGTGTGTAAGATGAAAAATGTTTTTCATATTCATAGGAAGGTTTGAGAGGTGAGAATGAAGATGGGGAACACGGACTGTAGGCTGTGTAGTGAGGGGAGCTCAGTATTGGGTTTAAATATGGACTTTGCCCGCTTCAATGTATGGTCTTAGATAAATTGCATTAACTCTTTGAGCCTTGGTTTCTCATCTATGAAATGGGGCTAACAACCTTTTGTCTGATTAGATTACTGTATGCTTAAATGAGATGTTTTATTCACATTTCAATTTTGGTTTGCTGATGTTGTTTGGTTGATGGAGTCTCAAAACAATGGTAAAAGAATTTCCTCTGCATTAAATGTGTGGCATATAAAGAATTGTTGCTTAGTCTACTTTATACTTTTGCATTCCAATTTCCTATGATGAAAAGAACATCTTTTTTTGGTGTTAGTACTGTCAGGTTTTGTAGGACTTCATAGAACCGATTAACTTCAGCTTCTTTGGCATTAGTGGTTAGGGCATAAATTTGGATTCCTATGATGTTGAATGGTTTGCCTTGGAAACACATTTTGGATTCTTTGGTTGGCTATGACGGCTACTCCATTTCTTCTAAGGGGTTCTTGCCCACAGTAGTAAATATAATGGTCATCTGAACTAAATTCGCCCATTCTCGTCCACGTTTAGTTCACTGATTCCTACCATGTCAATGGTCAATCTTGCCATCTCCTGCTTGACCACGTCCAATTTACCTTGATTCATTGACCTAACATTACAGGTTCCTATGCAATATTTTTCTTTAAAGCATCAGAATTTACTTTAACCACCAGATACATCCACAACTGAGCATTGCTTCTGATTAGGTCTAGCCACTTCATTCTTTCTGGAGCCATTACTAATTGCTCTCTGCTCTTCCCTGTAGCATACTGGACATCTTCTGACCTAGGGGGCTCATCTTCCAGTGTCATATCTTTTTGCTTTTTCATACTGTTCTTTGAATTCTCTTGGCAAGAGTATTAGCATGAGTTGCCATTTCCTCCTCACGTTTTGTCAGGATTCTTCACTATGACCCATCCGTCTGGGTGGCTCTGCATGGCATGGCTCATAGCTTCACTGTATTTTGCAAGACCCTTCACCACGATAAAGCTGTGATCCATGAAGCGGATGTAAATGATATTTACAGGTGACTTTTTTTGTTAATATACAAGTTAACAAGAATTTTTAAGTTATTTTATTGCAGTGATAGTCTCTCACATGAGTAATATAAGACAGACCTCTGATGGATCCTCAGACAATATTAAGAAGATCCTCATAACTGTGTGTCATTTTATTATTGAAATTATGTATAGATTTTAAAGTATAACCTGATTATATGAGCTCCAGTATAAATATATTTTTAGTTGAACAGATGTTAAAAGTTTGATGAACTCATTATTGACAAGGGTACCAGTAAGATTTATAACTTATTCTAGTATAAACATTTTAATTTTAAAATAACAACATATAAGAGAAGAGACAGACGATGATTTGTATTCAAAACATACCTTTATTTTCTAAATTGTTTCATTATAGGATGCTTTTAGGTAAGTAAAAATAATTGCTTATTTAGTGAGTTGTTTAATTAACCTGTATTATTATTATTTTTTATCCTCACAATAACCTTGGGAATTAGAAACTGTTTTAATGCCAGTTTTAAAGATTAGACAGTTGAGGTTGGTTGCCTGAGGTAACAAGCAATTAAGCGACAGGCAGATATCAAACTCCAGAGACTATAGTTATCTTCCAACTTTGGCTAAAGCTCAGTTATGTAAGGGACATATGTTTGGAATAGTGGGGAGGGGGGGCTTAGCAGGAGAGTATTGTATTCCTTTTTTTTTCACTTATTTTTATTAGTTGGAGGCTAATTACTTTACAATGTTGTAGTGGTTTTTGCCATACATTGACATGAATCAGCCATGGATTTACATGTGTTCCCCATCCTGAAGCCCCTTCCCACCTCCCTCCCCATCCCATCCCTCTGGGTCGTCCCAGTGCACCAGCCCTGAGCACCCTGTCTCATGCATCCATTTTAATGGTGGTGGTTTAGTCGCCAAGTCGTGTCTGGCTCTTGTGACCCCATGGACTGTGGCCTGCCAGGCTCCTCTATCCATGGGATTCTCTAGGCAAGAACACTGGAGTGGGTTGCCATTTCTTTTTCCAGGGGCTCTTCCCAACCCAGGGATCGAACCCAGGTCTCCCGTGTTGCAGGCAGATTCTTTACCAGCTGAGCCACTAGGGAAGCCCAAGAAGACTGGAGTGGGGAGCCTATCCCTCGGAGTGGGCAACGGCACCCCACTCCAGTACCCTTGCCTGGAAAATCCCATGGACGGAGGAGCCTGGTAGGCTGCAGTCCACGGGGTCATGAAGAGTCGGACACGACTGAGTGACTTCACTTTCACTTTCATGCATTGGAGAAGGAAATGGCAACCCACTCCAGTGTTCTTGCCTGGAGACTCCCAGGGACGGGGGAGCCTGGTGGGCTGCCGTCTATGGGGTCGCACAGAGTCGGACACGACTGAAGCGACTTAGCAGCAGCAGCAGCCTATCCCTTCTCCAGCGGATCTTCCCGACCCAGGAATCGAAACTGGATCTCCTGCATTGCAGACAGATTCTTTACCAACTAAGCTACAATGAGATTGCATCTAATTTGTTAATACATGAAAGGATCTGGAGGTTTTTATGATGGTGGAAAATATGATGGCACAATCATGTTGGCAAGTAGTGTAGCATAACACCCGAAAAAGTGAGCAGGGATGTCAGCAGGGATATCAAATGACCTGTTAGGAAGTTATTACAAGAGCTGGACAATACATGTTAGAGGAATGAACTATGGCAGTTTTTACAATTTAAAGCTGGGGAAAGCCTTGGGGAACGTTTTAGGAGTAAAATTATTGGACATGGTAAAGGACTGGATGAAAACAGGGAAGACAAAAAGTAGAAGTAACTATTTTGACTTTTGAAATTGAGTTTGAAATGCTTAAATACAGCAAGTGGTCAGATACATGGATAGAAGTCAAACTTGGAGGTATAGACGTTAGCATCATCTGTACAGAAGGGGTTATCAATCAATGTGGAGGAGTGGGAAGAAGTCTCAAGGACACCTTCATTAGATCTGAACTAACTTTATTATATGTATTACTGAATGTGAATGGAATTTACAAGAGTTAACCCCAAACTACTCTACCTCAAAATCTAAATGATTGACATGAGATTGTGTTTGCAAAAGAGATAGCGAATGACCATGTTATTTAAAATGCTTTATAAAATTTTATTTAATAGTATTTGATCATACAGATTTTATGGTAAATGTGCATTTCTAAAAGTGCATAATCAAACATTTATTTTTTTTCTTGATCTTGCATTTGTCATAGAAAGGTGCTATGGATGATTACATGAAGATTTACTACTTATGGATTCATATTAAAATATACCACAAAGAAGAGATAAACAAGTTTATAAGATGCTGTTTGCTGGTTTTGAAAATAGAGAAATATAAAAATATTATTTGGCAGTAACAGAAAATACCATTTCTTTTTTAATTACTTTCAAAATTCAACATGAACACTAAAATAAAGAGTTGGTTAAGTGGTATCACCCATTTAATATATATTGCCCATACTGTATTTCTCATTCTGGAATAATGAAGCACATGACTCCACTTCTGTATAATCTGTGCTATGTTCAAACATTAGTTGCTGGGATCATGAAGGTGACTATATTAGAAGCAGATAGAACAGATATGTGCACAGCAAAAGAGTGGCTTTAACCAGAGTTCCATCCTAATGTCTTACTTTGTTGGGAACACAGTTTACATATTTAAAGAGGAATGTCATGTTGATTCATTGGTAGCATCTGGACACCCATCTCAGGCCTGAGTGGTGAATAGCATAGCTTGATACAAATGGTTGCTGAACACTCTCACCTTCAGTATCCAGTTATTTCAGTGACGAAACCTTAACAAAAAGTTTCCCAAACCCTCATTGGCTTTCTTTTTCTACCACAGTAAATAATTATTTGACTTCATCTGAGCTTTATGGAGCTAATTACTTTTGCTTGGAAACAGAGTTAAAATTAAATGTAATTTTTAATTATAAAATGTTTCCTTGGAAACATTTGCTTGTAAGTTAAATTGTACTTTGTTCTAAAATACTTAATTTCCCTTACAATTAGAAATCAAAGACAGAACTCAGCATAGGGCAATTTGGAAAGTGTAGCATTAATTGCTACAAAAAAGTTAATTTTTTCATAATGGACAACTGATGGTGAACATCCAATTAACTGCTACATAGTTATACTGAACAATTCTGCTCAGAAAAGAATTATTCTATTTTATGACCATTAATTGAATGATCACTGGAAGCAGACATTTTTAAAATTTAGAAATTTCTTTAGAAATTACCTTTTTTAAAAAAAAATTTAGAAATTATAGGTTTGTTTGAATTTAGAAAAAGCTGAGCATAATGATCACAATTGAAAAGATCAGCATAAGTAGGTGACCTCGAAGTTCACTGCAACTGTTTCACAAATCACCTTAACACACAGGATTCACAGCCAAGGGCAAGCCTCTCTTCGGTTCGTAAGGTGTTGTCCTGGAAACCATTTTGATGCAGTCGATAATAGGGCAGACGGAGAGACAGAGGGTACAGCCGGTGCAAGCGTCAGTGATGGTGGGCAGGTGGGTTTCAGGATCAAACTGGATAGCCTGCAAACAGAAATAGAGTCTCGCTGTCACCGCCCACAAAGGGCACGAACGCCCCTGTTTTAGCACCAGCGTTTTTCTCCACCGCAGGAGAGCTGCGCTCGAGAGCTACGCCCCGCACCGCGGTGCAGCTATAGCAACAGTTGAGCTGCTAGAGAAGAGGGGGGGAAAAGAGGGGAAAAATCCTTTTAAACTAGAAACACGACGCTTAAAATTCCTTAGAGGTGTTGTTCTTGCTTTGTGTGAGGAAAATATTTCGTGACATAGGAACTCTCGGGTCTCCTGCGTTGTGAGCAGAGTGTGGGTCCTGCCAGTCTGACCACGACCTGGTGGGTCGGCCACCTGAGGCGGGCAGGGCGCTTCCACACCTTGTCCTTTTCACACGCCGGCTTCTCGACAGTGAAGTGTCATATTATGGGTATAGGGCTTACAGAAAGGCAATAGGAAAACAAAAAGTAGCTTAAGAGCCAGCTTTCAGGTTTGAGGGTTTGCAAGCTGATTCGAGGCATTACTCCCCACCAAAGGGAAAAGCACTGAAAGATGGGAGCCCGGACACCCGGCTTCTGGTCTGGCCCGACACTCTTCTGCTTGGAGAACCAGGATAAGGTTTCCAGTTCTCAAACTGCTCAGGATTTTGAGAAACTCAATAATTTATTCCTTTCTCCCCCCTTCTCTCTCATCTTTCCTTCCTTCCTTTCTTTTAACATGATTTAATTTGCAATATGGTGTAGCAATTGAACAACAACAATCTGCAGTATGCAATGAAAATACCTAGTGTGAAATTTACAGTTGAGATTTTCATTGAGGTAGAACGCTTTACCCCTGAGCCACCGGAAAAGCCTTGAGATTTTTACTTAAAGTCATGATGACTATTTGCCTGTGAAAGAGATATTTCAAAAATGGAAACAACAGACAAGAATTTCCATCCAGGAAAGACTTCAGGGCAGCTACCTGGGGGCAGAGAGGACTTGAGGACTCTTCGAGAAGTCTCTCTTGCAGAACAAGTCAATGTTTTTACTCAGACTGCGTGCTAATTTGGAGCCATGAGCGAGGGGGGCTGAGAAAAATTACGAGGGTCAGTAAGCCCCCACCTCGCCCCAGATACTCCTGGAGGTCAGGTCTGTGAATCTTATATTTTCAAATAATTACTGAGTTCTGATTTTTTTTCCTGTGTCATATACAACATGTTATAAAATCCAATTAAAGTTTTTATGTTTAAGAATTTCCCTCTGTCAAATAAGGTTCCTTGCAACTTAATTTTTTTCCCTTTTATGAACATAACAAATTAAAATGGTCTCATTAGCGTAAGTTATGTCAGAGTGCTTAATATTTTTTAAAAATTCTGAGCTTTAAGGAAACAACCATATATCTGAACAAGTATGTAGCTATGACAAACCATTAGGAAATTTGGTCTAACCAAATTGTTGCCATGTTTTGTAAAACAACATCTCAGCTGACTGTTTAAATGAGTAAAAGCTATTCTCTTCCTTATGTACCCTTTTATAAACAGAAATCCAAAACAATTGATGAAAATAAAATAATACTTACATCTTAGAAATCTTACACTTTGAAATTTTGCAAACATGTAAAATTTCACATTTGAAGATTTTTATTTTCTATTTTTTATCTTTGAGAGACAGAAGAGCCAAAGGAAGGCTTTAAAAATTTTTTTTGAATGCATAATTGCAATCTCTCCCCTCACTAATAAGATTATTTTTGCTGAAGTTTTGCCAAGGCTACAATTCCAAGGTGGGAATCATAACCTCTAAGATTTAAGACGTTAGAACCCTGGTGCTGTGATTTTAGTGTTAGAACTTCCTGACTTATCTCTGTTTGGTTAATGAGAGGAAAGATGAAATGAAAATGAATATGATATGATTATTCAAAATAACTGCTAGAGATGCTTTTCATGGGTAGAAAAAGATGAGTAAATACAATGGGTAAAAATTGGGTATGGAACAGTGTTAAATTAAGGAGGAAGAGGTTTTTTAAGAATTAAACTTATGTCTGTCATACCTCTCTATTAGGTGGTCAGAAGAATACATAAAATCATATCACAATCAAATAGGACCTTTCTCCAAGCTAAATAAGGTAAATGAAATATAGTTTTTTTTTTTTAAAAAATGGGCCATTTTATCTATCTTGAAAATTCATTAATCATCTTAAAGGGATCTTATTTTTACTTTATTATACTTCTTTACAGTGTGAAATATTTAATGAAAACAATATTATTCTGTAGCTCTTAACCTGAAGACAGCTGAACGCGCACTTTTTTCTTTATTGTCCATGGCAGACTCTCAGCTGAGGGCTCGGGGACTGGGAAGAAGCTCTGGCTCACTTTATGTGGTAGGAACACAACTTGCTCAGCTTTTCCAGCTACAGAAGAATTTCAGGTCCCAACCAGCACAACTAGTCGGTGGTAAAACGTCTTTTTTTCTAATTGTAGTAAAAGCCCAATCAACACTGAATGGAAGACCAGAGAAGGAAGCAAGTTCCTTCCAGATCATGGACATAAGTTGGTAGTTCTTTTCTCTGCTTTCTCCTTTAAGGTATGATGCTTCCTTATGGCCATAATTGTGTGAATTTTTGTTTGAATTTTTCCTTCGAATTTTATGAGTGATGAAGTGACACTAAGACAATACTGTGCACCGAAAGGTGGCCTTGTTCTTATGAGTTATTAGCTTCCTTTGAAAAAATCACTAGAAAAAAGGTATGGATGAACCGGTTTGCATGGTGTGAATAGAGACACAGATGCAGAAAACAGAGGTGTGGACATGGGGTGAGGGGGAAAGAGGAGGTGGGATGAATTGGGAGACTGGGATTGACATATATATACTACCATGGGTCAGACAGATAGCGAGTGGGAGCCTCCTGGATAGCTCAGGGAGTTCAGCTCAATGTTCTCTGGTGATCTAGATGGGTGGGATAGGGGAGGTGTGAGCGAGGTCCATGAGGGAGGGGGTCTACGTACATATACGCTGATTCACTTTGTTGGAGAACAAAAATTAACCTGACATTGTAAAGCAACTGTTACTCCTGTTATAAAGGAAAATCACCCCTGTGCTATGGATGTGAGAGGATGGAAAGCTATGTCACTGCTGAGAAGTGACGTTTGGCATGTCTGGTCTGAATCCCACACTTCACAACAAAAGATGCTTTCTGCTACAAAAGCCAGGAGAAACATGCCTCACAGCATCCTAATTCCAGCATGATTCTTACCTGGTAGCCAGAGTCATTACAGGTCATGTAGCATTTGCCACAGTTGATACACATCTCTTCATCGATCACAGCCACAACCTGCTCTATGTTGCTCAGTTCACCATATGTTCCAAGGTACTGCAGGGCTTTTCCAATCACATCCTAAAAGACAGGCGCTGAATTACTTACAGGGCTCATTTTAAAAGATTGCCGTGTTATGGCTAGTATCGGTCCAAATCTCCCTGTTTTTATAGAATATTGCATTATCTAACTTAAAAGATTTTAGATATTGTAGCTCTCATGGATATACTTTTTATAATTACAGCTTACATATTTCTGTGTCCTGAAAGATGGACCCTCTCTCCATATCTAGCTTAGAAACACAAGACTTAACTCATTGCATTCAACAGGTTTTCCACAAATGATCTAAATCAATATTTCTGTGGGCAGGAGAAATGACGCATTTTTCAATGGCTGTGGCTTCCTTTTCCTCAGTTTTGGACTCTGAATGACCAAATAATGAGGAGCAACAGAGGGAAATGCACTGATACTAGAAAATGTTAGATTGCCGGGAATGAGAATAAAAATGTGAACACTATGCATTTATAGCACTGCATTTGAAGTCTAGATTTTCATTTGAAAAAGTGCTTTGATAGCATACCCACCTGTCATGTTTTGAAGAGTTATTTCATTATTTAAAAATTCTAATTTATGTTAATTAATTAGGTTAATCTAGTAGCTAAATAAGATGCTCTTTTACTATTAAAGAACTCGGATTTTCTTCATTCACCATTGAAGATTCTTCATGCCGTTACACATCTTTGTTCTTCATATTAATTGGAAGTGTGCTTAATATGTGAAGCACAGAAGATGTTTCATCAACAATAAGAAACACTTTGTTTCATAAAACAAAACAGAAGAATGTAACAATGTTTGTCAAATTAGTATGCTGTCAAGATTTTCTGCTTCTGTTTTTAACTTTTAACAAGACAATCTTTTGTTTGGATTCAAGGTCCATGTTCAAAGAGGTTTCACTCTTATTTAAAGCCATCTTCCGATATTCTCTTTGGTATTTTATTTCCTGCTCTTCTTTTTACGACCTTGGTTACCCTTTTAAACTTTTTTTTTCCTGTTTCCACTCTAAATGACAATATGCTCATGACTTTGAGCTTTCAAACTGAAACAAAGTTTACATTATTATTTACTGTTTATTGGTGTAGCTCTCAAGGAATAAGAAAATCAGAAACTTAATGTCTTTTACTATTTTCTTTTCAGGGTGTTGAAAAGATAATTTCAACAATCTCACTGTCTGTTTGTAGGGGGCTGCCTGGGGTCCAAATCAATATCTCCATCCTGAGTTTCTCTCACAAACTCAAGATCTTTATCAGTGGCATGATGAGCACCATTCCTAGAATTTGGTACAACAAATTCACCACTCACTGAACTTCTCATCAACATCACAAAATTGGATCTTCCTCTGATTTCCTTAGTCATGGAAACACTGTTAGGATTTCTTCGGTCACTGAGGCTTGACATTTCAGAGTTGCATTTTACTCCTACTTCTCCCTACTCCAATATCTCATCGGTTATCAAGTCTTTTGAGTTCTAGATTTGCAAAATCTTTTGAATCTTCTTTCCATGTCCACTATAGTTTTTATCTACTATTAATTAATTTCCCATTACTTCTAAGGTGGTTACAAGAGCCTACACGGTAAGTCTCATCATTATTTTCTTCCTTTCCCATCCTATCTTATGCAGTGTTGTCATCTTAATCTGTGCTGCATAGCACAAGCTAAATTTCCCACTACCTTACTAAAAAAAAATAAAATCTACTGAATTAAACACAGTTTCACATTTAAGTCTAGCATTTAAGGCTTTCACTGGCATGCCTTTTTTGGTCTGATTTCTCACTTTCAGACACCATGTGCTTTAGCTATCCCAGACACATGCCCCGTACTGAACACACTTATCAATCAACTCCTCTGGTACCTAATTTTATCTTGGGTCCTCTGTCCAGAATACTCTTCCTTCCCTTTTTTATTTTGAAAAATCTTGTCCATCCTTCAAAGACAGCTGACACACCACTACTCCAAGAAGATTTCCTCAAGCTTTCCTTTTTTTCTAACCCAGAAAGGTGTGATCTCTCTTTTCCTCTTTCTCTTTCGTCTCCTACCTCTTTCCTTCCTACACACCCACAGTGGCTCATAGTATTTTATCTATTATGTGGAACTAATGATTACAGATTACTTTGAGTTCTTACTATGTATTGGGCCAGTGCTGTAATTTTTAAGCATTTTCTCACTTAAATCTCATATGTATTATAGAGGATGAGGTGCCTAACATTTAAGGTATAAGAGTAAGTAAATGAAAAAGCAGGCATTCAGATTAGTGCTGCCTAACTTCAAAATCTATGATTGTAAGCACTGTGTTATGCTGACTTATCTGTTACTTTTCTAGCAAATTCTGCTTCATCTCATACATATTTCTATACTTGCTTCCTATAAGCAGTCTTTTACTAGGCTATATTCATCTTTGTGTCACATGTGTTATATCTTGCTCCTGAGATCACTGAAATCTAATGGGTACTTGAATATTTGTTAAATAAGTGTATCTTTCATTTCTTTATACATTAAATATATGGCAAAATATAAGGCTAAAATATTAGTTTTATTACAACTGACATATTAATTTTATGGGCTAATAGCTATTTGCAATTTACTAAATATTTTTTTAAAACATGAGATTCACAGAAAGATTTGAGTAGTTTTTTAAAATCATTTTTTCTTGGAGGATAATTGCTTTATAATATTGTGTTCAGTTCAGTCGCTCAGTCGTGTCCAACTCTTTGTAACCCCATGGACTCCAGCAAGCCAGGCTTCCCTGTTTATCACCAACTCCCGGAGCTTACTCAAACTCATGTCCATTGCATTAGTAATGCCATCCAATCATCTCATCCTCTGTCGTCCTCTTTTCCTCCTGCTTTCAACTTTTCCCAGCATCAGGGTCTTTCCCAATGAGTTAGTTCTTCACATCAGGTGGCCAAAGTATTGGAGTTTCAGCTTCAGCATCAGTCCTTCCAATGAACACCCAGGACTGATTTCCTTTAGGATGGACTGGTTGGATCTCCTTGCTGTCCAACGGACTCTCAAGAGTCTTCTCCAACACCACAGTTCAAAAGCATCAATTCTTTGGTGCTCAGCTTTCTTTATAGTCCAACTCTCACATCCATACATGACCACTGGAAAAACCATAGCCTTGACTAGACAGACCTTTGCTGGTAAAGTAATGTCTCTGCTTTTTAATATGCTGTCTAGTTTGGTCATAGCTTTTCTTCCAAGGAGCAAGCATTTTTTAAATTTTATGGCTGCTGTCACCATCTGCAGTGATTTTGGAGCCCCCCAAAATAAAGTCTCTCACTGTTTCCATTGTTTTCCTGTCTATGGGCCATGAAGTGATGGGACCAGATGCCATAATCTTAGTTTTCTGAATGCTGAGTTTTAAGCCAACTTTTTCACTCTCCCCTTTCACTTTCATCAAGAGGCATACAGATTTCTCAGGAGGCAGGTAAGGTGGTCTGGTATTCCTGTCTCTTGAAGAATTTTCCACAGTTTGCTGTGATCCATACAGTCAAAGGCTTTGGCGTAGTCAATAAATTAGATGTTTTTCTGGAACTCTCTTGCTTTTTTGACGATCCAGTGGATGTTGGCTATTTGATTGACAGTATTATGTTGGTTTCTGCCAAACATCAGTATGAATCAGCCACAGCTATACATATGTCCCCTCCCTCCTGAAGTCCCCTTCCATGTCCTACCCTACCCCATCCCTCGAGGTTGTCCCAGAACACTGGGCTGAGTTCACTGTGTCACATAGCAAATTCCCACTTGCCATCTATTTTCCATAAGATGAGGTATATATTTCCATGCTATCCTTTCAATTCTTCCCACCATCTCCTTCCCCCGCTGCGTCTACAAGTCTGGTTTCTGTTTCTGCATTTCTACTGCTACCCTGCAAACAGGCTCATCAATATCATCTTTCTAGATTCCACACACATGCATAAATATACAACACTTGCCTTTTGCTTTCTGACTTCTTCCCTCTGTATAATGGGTCTAGGTTCATCCACCTCATTAGAACTGACTCAAATGTGTTCTTTTTTATAGCTGAGTAATATTCTATTATATTGATGTACCATAGTTTCTGTAGCCATTCATCTGTCAGTGGACATCTAGGTTGCCTCTATATCCTAGCTATTGTAAAAAGTGCTGCCACAAACATTGGGGTACATATGTCTCTTTCACTCATGGTTTTCTCAGGGTATTTGCCCAGTAGTGGGATTGTTGGGTCATATGGTAGTTTTATTCTTAGCTTCTTAAAGAATCTTGAATACTTCTTCAAATACAAAATAAGCATAGTCAAAGAATCTAGATATGCTTAATATTTAAATGGATGCGGTTCTTCTACGGCTGTAAAAGACAATATGTGATAGAAAATAATTTTTCAAACTAGTAGACAACCCAGTCAAAATGGTTGTTTCATTGAATTAGAGCATGACTTGACTGAACTAATCAGTAAATATTCAAAAGATGATAAAACAGGAAACTCTCTAGACAGCAATCCAGCTTATAAGGTTTATTCCAAAGAAGCAATGCATATTTCTAAGAGATGTTATTGTAGGAAGCAAATTCACATTCTGCATATATCAATTACCCTTTTTGCACTTTGTTGGGGAACTGTTCTTGTCATTTATTAAAACATCATTTTTTAATGTGAAACTAAATAAAACAAAGTCTTTGGAGCCTCTAAAGTTTATTAACACATGGTGTTAAATTGAGTCATTTGCAGTGATGTGATGAACCTTGAGTATATCACACAGAGTGAAGCAAGTCAGAGAAAGAAAAAGGATGTAAATGAATGCATACATGTGGAACCTAGGAAAACAGTAACTGATGAAAGTATTTGCAGGGCAGAAAGAGAGATGCAGACCTAGAGAACAGACATGCGGACACAGTGGGGGAAGGAGAGGGTGGGAAGAACTGAGAGGGCAGCTTTGACATTTATATATTTGTGCTCATGCACAGTCAATCAGTCAAGCCCAGCTCTCTGTGACCCCTCAACCATAGCCTGCCAAGCTCTTTTGTCCATGGAATTTTCCAGGCATGAAT